TATGCCCAAGAAAAAATGCAGATCGCCCATATCAGTCATAGCGAACTCTCCCTTGAGACGCTGTGTGAGATGCTGAAGGAGATGGTCAGAGGATGCCGTGAGAACGATGTCATCGACATAGAGAAGTAAATATGCTGTGTCTGTCCCATGAGTGAAGACAAAGAGAGACGTGTCCGATTTGCAGCTGCGAAACCCAAGGGTCTGAATGAAGCTGGCAAAGCGGTGGTACCACGATCTGGGAGCCTGTTTGAGACCATATAGTGCCTTCTTGAGTTTGCAGACATAGTGAGGCTTGGCCGGGTCCTGAAAACCGGAGGGCTGAGTGGCATAAATTGTCTCCTGTAGGTACCCGTGAAGAAATGCATTCTTGACGTCCAGCTGGTGAATGGGCCACCCCTGAGAAAGAGCAATACTCAACACAATCCGTACCGTGGCCGGTTTTATCACCGGGCTGAAAGTCTCATCGTAGTCCACACCGATGATGAGGGGGTCCTGGATCCGGAGAGAAAGCCATGAAGATTGAATCGTCGAACAAGAAGCAAGAAGAGACGACACCATTTTTTGTAGTTTGGTTGAGAAAAGCTCAATTGTATGGGAACATGGAGCTTGACGTTGGATATTGCCGTAAATGCCAAGTGGGGAGAATTAGAGGAGGATGATGAAGAAGAGGATTTGTCCGTTGTTTTGTCGGAGTTATCCATGGGAGGAGGAGAGATCAAGGGTTGAATGGTGAAGAGGTGGCCTGCGGCACCCTTACTGCCGAGAGAGGCAGTGACGAGAGAGAGAGAGAGAGAGCCGAGAGCAGGAGAGGAAAAATTAGGTTTTTGGAATAGGCTTTGATACCATGAAGAATGAATATTTTCGATTGATTAATTGTGTAGGAGTACAACCATATTTATATACAAGATGGGACTCCTAATCATGGTAGGAGTATAATTAAGGAAACCTATACAAAAGGTAACTACCAATAATACAATGATATAATAATAAATACATTAAATATACTTAACATAAATATATATTAAATATATTTAACAATATCCTACCTTCCCGTGCCCCAATTGTGGGATTACTCTGGCTTTGTTGTTTTTGTTGCTTTGTGCGTTGGGAGTGAATTTGATTTGGAATTTGATTTTCACTACCAAAAGCAAACTGTTAGAACAAACTTTGAAAGAGAATCTAATTTTGTACTTGATCCTTAAGGAAAGGGAAAACTTTTAGGGCTAATTTTCATAAAGAATCTGATTTTGAAGGTGTTTTCCAAGGTACAACTGAAGCTCTAGGGACTGATTTTTCAAATGAATATGGTTGTGAAGCTGATTTTCAAGATAAAACTGAAGCTTTAAGAGGTGAGTTTGAAACAGAAAATGAGTTAGGGGCTGAATTTAGGACTTGTAAACTTGTAAAGCTCATATTTATGAAGAAAGTGAAACTTTGGGGGCAGAAATTTTAAAGGAAACTGATGTCAAAGCTGATTTACAAAAGAAAACTAAACCCTTGAGGCATGATTTTTAAAAACAGGATGAGTTTGAAGCTAATTTTCAAGAGAAAATTAAAACAATTTGGGCTAATTTTGTAAGTGAAACTGATTTTGGTTTATCATATCTTTTTCATAATCTTAAGGAA